ACTGCTCAATACTACCACGAGGACAGCCCATGGAGCGAGGAATCCAACTCCTCAGAGAGGATTAACGCTCAAAAGAAACACCATACTCACAATAACCCTCAATGGTGAGGGGAGCGATGCTTCCAGAGTGTGTCGATAGAGACACACTAGTTGAGTGGAGCCCAAGGTACCGGGGTCCAAACCAACTCAGAGAAAGGGAACAGCCAAATGGGAGAGGCAAGTTCAAATACAACCCTTAAAGGTGAGGGGAGCACTGCCCGAGACAGCATTTACACAGGAAGGTTCTCGTAATGCCACCTATACTTCCCGCTCGATGCCTCAGCAAGAGGGGATATCCTGGTGATCGGGAAGCCCCTCAAGGCGACCCAGATACGGTAGACCAGTCAGGGTAGCATGAAAGTGTAACCCCAGCCGGGACGTCCTTTACTTGTAGCAGACTCATCGTGACCACGAAATGCATGTTCTTGTTGGTCCAAATATAGAACCGCAATGATCAGTTTGCGCAAAAGATCACATTTTTTCGCCACCTGCTCGTTATGCCGCAGTACCCCAATGGCAGCGGCCTGGCTGAGTGCCTCATCGATTCTTTCCCGCCCGAACAACTTCAGCTTAAGAGCGGAAGATATGTGGCTCCGAGACTTTGCATGTCTTTCCATAGCTCTTGCTAAATTCTTCATATGGTTGAAACCAGTCATAATCCATGGATTGAATCCTCCAGTTGATTCGTCAAATAGCAGACAAGGCCAGCAGAAGAGTTTGTTCAAGTTCACTGAGCCTGTTAGCCACTCGGTTTTGCTAAATAATTCATTTCTAAAACAACGCGTTCGGCCGCATAATGGAGATCGTTTTATGTCCAGATTAGGCGTGGGTCTTCCTTCATTTTTTATTTTTAGCTGCTGCTCAAAAGGGAGCTTTGTAAATTTATTTGCGATAAAATATTCAATATCTCGTCCCTCCATATTTACTACATTATAGGCGCCACAGAGTCGTTCAAGCATATTACAACGTCATTGATGTCTCAATGGTGATTGGTTGATAAACCAAGGGAGGCTAGCCTCCTCTGTAAATTTTGTAAGACATTAAGAAACAGAGCCACTCTGCTGACACGTAGAAATACTCGATGCTGATTGGTTAATTTTTTATCAACGGAGGCCAGAATCTCCATTTTTGGATTGTGCTTCCCCCCTCCCCTTCTCTATCCACAGAGACGTTCACGGGGAATACAGAAGTGGTAAAAACCCAGGGGATTCCGATTTAAGTAATATTTTATTTTTTGCAATGGTGAAATTACAATTAAGAAATACACATTATGAAGACATTAAATATTATATTGATATTTTATTAACATTAAATTGTAAGCTACTATTACTATTTTTACACCTCAAAATTTTGCGGAGGCTGTGCCTCCCCTGACGAGCTGCCACTGGTTAACACTAGGGCATATTTCCAACATGATATGGCATTAACTTTTAGCGACAGTACCCGGATATTTGAATTCTGAACCGCCGCAATACGTACCTGAAGAAACGCAATAAAAACACAGCAATACGTACCTATTTCAACGTAATAAAAACGTGCCAGGGTTGACGTATTGAACCCGTGTTTTAGCACCACTCAGTGGACATTTCTCTTTGAAACTGCGACGAAACGTGCAGTAAGGTACGTAAAAACGGTGTTGCAGAAATGTACGCAGAGGTATGTATTTTTATGAGACTGGGTTTGAAGTTTCACACAAGTGCTTAAAACTTTGAACAGTACTGTAGCTTTGCAGGTAGGTTTCCTGAAGCATCTTGGAGACGTTGCCACAGTTCTTCTGGATTTAGTCTGTCTCAGTTTGTTCTGTTTCTTCATGTCAATCTAACTAATCAATGAAAGTTGGTTATGAGAACTGTGTGAAGGGTTTTGGGGAAAAAAATGACTTAAGTATTGAGAAATGTGTCCTAGCAATTGTAAAAACTCTAATGTTTCCATAAATTTCTCATTGACAAAAAGACAAAACGTGTTTTTGATATTTAACATAATGCAGAGTCATAGATTACTATTTTACAGAGACACAACATATATCAATTAACTTTTTGTTTTTATTGACCAAATCTCACATATGTTGACATATTTAGATGAAATTACAAAATTAAGAAGAGCATAGCCATTTATTAAATGTGCTGAGATATTTTTTTTTGCCATCTCGATCAAGAGCAAAAATGAAGGTGAAAAAATTACCTCATATTACTTATACCAACTCAAATATACTGCAAATAAATAAACACACACACACACACATGCAATACAGTGCAACACAAATTTGTAAATTTGTCATTTACAAATGTATTCCTTAAAATGAATGCTTAATGCTTTTTCCCGTTGTCCCAAAACCAAGCACTTTTACAGAAAAACATAACTATTTTACAAGGTGGTGATTTCATATGAATTTGTATGATTTCTATAAACATTTTATATTTGTAAAATGTACATATATTAACATTGTCTTCTATTATGTGCAACACGAACATCTTTCAGTTAATGTCTCAGAAAAAGTAAGTTAGAGTTTCCCCACAACCTGAACACATTTAACAACAAATAATTTTCACCATATGAACAAATCACTTGCCCATGAGTCAGAACCTCAGAATTTTTAATAACAGCCATGAACAGGTTAACAGACTTTTTTCATAGTTCTGTACATGTTTAACACTTCACATTTAATATTAGACTGTTTATTGCCTTTATTGCTATTTTGTTAGATTGTGAATCAGATTGGTTGTTTCTCTGACACAGCTCTCATGCACGCTGTGGTGTTTGGGAATGTAACTGCCATCATCCAGCGCATGTACTCACGTCGCCATGCAATACAGTACAACACAAATTTGTAAATTTGTCATTTACAAATGTATTCCTTAAAATGAATGCTTAATGCTTTTTCCCGCTGTCCCAAAACCAAGCACTTTTACAGAAAAACATAACTATTTTACAAGGTGGTGATTTCATATGAATTTGTATGATTTCTATAAACATTTTATATTTGTAAAATGTACATATATTAACATTGTCTTCTATTATGTGCAACACGAACATCTTTCAGTTAATGTCTCAGAAAAAGTAAGTTAGAGTTTCCCCACAACCTGAACACATTTAACAACAAATAATTTTCACCATATGAACAAATCACTTGCCCATGAGTCAGAACCTCAGAATTTTTAATAACAGCCATGAACAGGTTAACAGACTTTTTTCATAGTTCTGTACATGTTTAACACTTCACATTTAATATTAGACTGTTTATTGCCTTTATTGCTATTTTGTTAGATTGTGAATCAGATTGGTTGTTTCTCTGACACAGCTCTCATGCACGCTGTGGTGTTTGGGAATGTAACTGCCATCATCCAGCGCATGTACTCACGTCGCTCACTATATCACACGCGTATGAAAGATCTGAAGGACTTCATTCGTGTTCACCGGCTGCCACAGCAGCTGAAACAACGCATGCTGGAATATTTCCAGACCACCTGGTCTGTGAATAATGGCATTGATGTCAATGAGGTGAGAAAGTGCTTGGCATTAACAAGAGTTTTTTTTTCTTATTCATTTACATTTTATGTAAAAATAATTTCAGTCTGTGCAGGGATATCGGTAACACTTATTAATAATAAGAATACACTAATATACTTACAAATCATTTAAAAACTATTGGTTTGTAGTTAATTCATAGTTTATAATCTGTAATTAATACATTAATAGACTAATACAAATAGTGAGTTCTTCATTGTCACTGTAATGAACAATTATTATTGTTTAATTAGCTCATATGTAAAGAGTTAGATAATGCTTATTAACCATAAATAGTTCTCACAACATATGAATGCAGTTAATGTTCAATAAAGATTGGTTTAAAGCACTTAATTAATAACATTTCCCCATTTTCCTTGACCTAATCTAAAGTGAGAATTATTCAAACCTTATTACTAATTAACAATTCCAAATTACCTAAAGAAAAATTTCATGTTATCTATTAGATTTTACATTTTGGATAATATAATCTAAGTAACTTTCTTATTACTTTTAGATTAGTTTTGACCTAACTCACTAATAATATAATTGTTTACAGAGCTGGATAAATTACTTACAAATTGTAGTCCGTTGATGATTACAGATTACATAATGAAAACTGTAGTTAGTAACATAATCTAGGTTACTCATTTTAGATAATGTATTCTGACTATGTTTTAGATTACTTTTTTAATCAAACTTGTTTATACTTACCATTAAACATGCCATATTGATATAAAAAGGCAAAGGGAAAGAAAATATATTCCTTGAAATATTTTATTTCGTATCTGTCCGTCTTTGTGAATATAATCAAAGCTGAGTGGTATGACACACAGTAGCATTTTTAGAAAGGAAAGTTTAAAAGAGGAAAAAGATGAATTAGGGAGAACCAGTAAATTATGAATAATAATAATAATAATAATAATCCATAAAGTAAACTGATTATGAGCATTTTATAATGTAATATACACTAATTACAAATACTTCATTTTTGGAATCTGATTGCATAGTCCAAATGACATGTAATCAATTACTACCCAGCACTGATCATTTAGTACCATATTGATAAAAAAATACAAAGAGAAATAAAAAATATTCCATTCTTTGTCAATAACATGAAGTGTATTAACATTACATTACATCCCAAACTGGGGTATGCAAGAGCACTGCAGGGGGTTTGAGAGTTGATGAAAAGTTAATAATTAATTAAAAATCTTAAAAATGTCAAATTAAAAAATCTAATAAAACCAAATATAAAATTTACTAAAAAGACGAAATATTTTATTTGTTTACCTGCATGTCCTATGTGACCATTAATCAACAACTTAGATCTATAAGCGTGCAAATATGTGGTTAAATTGAAATATTATGTCAAATCTCAGGGGGTGCCTCAAATAAAACAATTTTTTTTTTAATGGTCTAATTAATTAAGTGGTGCTTTTGTCCCCAAACTCAGAAGCCCAGTGATGTGGTTGAAAGTCTGGGCCCTGTCAGGGTAAATGACGAAAGGTTCAATCGCAAATGCAGATAATACAGTTTAGTAGGCAGACAGGAGTACACACACAGAGAAGTCAGGTGGAAGGAATCCTGGATGCAAAGAATGGTCAGTTCCTCGGTACACTCTTAAAAATAAAGGTGCTTCAAAAGGTTCTTCAAGCGATGCCATAGAAGAAACATTTTTGGTTCCACAAAGAACCATTCAGTCAAAGGTTCTTTAAAGAACCATCTCTTTCTTACCTTTTTATAATCTGAAGAACCTTCTTTCGCCACAAAGAACCTTTTGTGAAACAGAAAAGTTCTTCAGATGTTAAAGTTTCTTTATGGAACCATTTAGACAAAAAGGTTCTTCTATGGCATCGTGAAGCACCTTTATTTTTAAGAGTGTAGCGCAGAGCTGCAAGGGGTAAAAGGTAATCCATCTCCGAAAATGAGAGAGCTGAAGTCCGACTAGTCCACAGCAAACAGGTTCAGTGACAACTGCAAGGAACGGATTAACAACAGGACATCCAGAATACTGCATGAGACAGAAACACACACATGAGTAACCAAACGATCTGACAAAGACAAGGCAAACACAGAGAGCTTAAGTAGGAGCGCTGACAAGCCACAGCTAAAGCTGATAACTCACCAGCGGCAGTACACAAAATGACCAGAAGAGGCCAGGGAATACTGTGAACCGTGACAGGCCCTCCATCAGTCACAGACTCAAATATGTTTGCATTATGGGAGTGTTTTTAGAATTATGAACAGACAATTAAAGATGCTTAAAGCTGGTCCATATATACGTCAGACCAGTTTTATTTCTGAGTCACATAAACTAACATATGGTAAACAGCATGCAATTCCATCACATCACACTACTGGCACACAATGGTACCACTATTTGAAGATGTAAATATCCTTAAAGCTGTGAGCATGACAGATACCCATGTTTGGTGAAGCTCAGTCCACTGTCAGGCAGATGTTGCAGGCAGAACCCAGGTCAGGAATGTAGCAGGACAAGAGAGGTTAGATTCCTTGAGATTTCTTTTAATTAGATTATGCCAGCACACAGAATAGCCAACTATAACAGCATGGTGTGCTGATATGGCAGCTACACAGTTTAGGCATTGATGGGGTGAAGAGAGCATCCATCCACTGTTGAAATGTAAACAATGTATTTCAGATCATAGAGCCATCTAGATAAACCACCTCTTTACCAACTAAGATAACCCATGTGATCCTGGGATGCTCCGCTAAGTGACAAAACGTAGGCTCCACAGCTCTGGCTGAGGATGTCAAGGTTCCTCTTCAGCAGTTATTCTCCCAGGCTGAGTATCTTTAGATTCACAGACACAAACCAGTCCTCAGGATGAGCATGCGATAGGATTTGTTTATGGGATACCATCTTGAATGGGCACTGTGGAGAGTGCAGATTCAATTGTCTAGAATAGTCCAGAATGGGTTTCACTATCTAGCCAGACCTGTGAGAAACTGCAATACATTCGTGTGACAGAATAACGGGCACAGAAGCTTGTTCATGAGATAAGGTTGAGTGACACTCACCAGTGAAGAAGAAGAGCCCTTTATTAATAGGAGTCTGTTCATGTCACACCAAGTGTTTTTTTTGTTCACCGGTTTTGGCCTCCTCTGCAGAGTTGGAATGCCAGGTGAAGGGATTTTGGCAGAGAGCTAACTCAACATGGATCAGGAAGCCCACAGGGTCGTGACGCTGCCTCCTACTTTGGCGGTGAAATTTTCATTGACTGTCATTGAGATGAGCCGAAATACCTGGAAAATATTTCCACAGTGACACTATGCAATCCACTCATGCTATTTACACAGCATTGCAGATATGGTCAGGCCAAGATGTTGATCTAGGAACAAGTACTAATAAACAGCCAATACATTAGTAATATGCATGCTAATAAGACACTAGTTAATAGTGAGAAAAAAGTGTTGTCCGTTTTTTAATTGTCTAATTGCCTGGACCTTCAAATATTTCAAATCAATGTCTAATATACTTTCAAAAGCCAAAAACAAAGGTTTTAGGATTTTTTCAATTTTATTTCATTGTTCATTTAAAAAAATAGTAAAGAAGGTTTTGTTGTTTTTTTCTGCAGCTTTTACATGATTTTCCTGATGAGTTGCGTGCCGATATAGCCATGCACTTAAACAAAGACATCCTGCAACTGCCTGTGTTTGATGGTGCTAGTAGGGGTTGCCTGCGCTCTCTATCCCTCCATATCAAAACCACTTTCTGTACACCGGGGGAATATCTCATCAGACAGGGGGACGCGTTGCAGGCCAACTACTTTGTCTGTTCTGGGTCACTGGAGGTTCTAAAGGACAACATGGTCTTGGCTATTCTGGGTTTGTAACATTTCTTTGTTGTTTTCTAGCTTTTGACTTGTTTTTTGGACATTATATATTGATTTTCTGAACACTACATGTTGGTGCACTATATGTTGATGGAATGTTTCAGGTGTAGGCCTATAGGTGTTAATTACCACAGCAACTACTTTTGACTTTTCTCTAGTTAAAATAAAATTACATTTCAATAACATACTTAGGAGCAATTGTGCCAGACATGTTAAAAGACAGGTTTGTTGTCACAGCCATATCACCCTGCAGCCCAAGACTGGTTGCCCACTGAAGCTAAGCAGGGTTGAGCCTGGTCAGTACCTGGATGGGAGACCTCCTGGGAAAACTAGGTTGCTGTTGGAAGAGGTGTTAGTGAGGCCAGCAGGGGTCACCCTGCTCACCCTGTGGTCTGTGTGGGTCCTAATGCCCCAGTATAGTGACGGGGACACTATACTGTCAAAAAGCACCGTCTTTCGGATGAGACGTTAAACCGAGGTCCTGACTCTCTGTGGTCATTAAAAATCCTATGGGACTTCTTGTAAAGACTAAGGATGTAACCCCGGTGTTCTGGCCAAATTGCCCTGGCCCTTGTCACTCATGGCCTCCTAATAATCCCCATCCACTTGATTGGCTCTATGACTCTCTCTCCTCTCCACCTGTAGCTAGTGTGTGGTGAGTGCACTGGAGCCGTTGTACAGTGGCTGCCGTCGCATCATCCAGGTGGATGCTGCACACTGGTGGTGGTTGAGGAGAGACCCCGCCCCCCCGATTGTAAAGCGCTTTGGGTGTACAGCAATACACAATAAAAGCGCTATATAAATGCCTTATTCATTAATTCAAACTGTACAGTTGTCTTAAATAAAGTTCTAGTAGTGGGATTACTGGTCTATGTGGTCCTTAGTACAACTACAGTATTATACACTGGAAAACAGATTTAAATATTAGATTGATATGAAAATGGATTGTAATAGATGAAAATTGATTTTATTCAGTGTTGATGTCATTACAGGAAAAGGAGATCTGATTGGCTCAGACCTGCCAGGCCAGAATCATGTGATCAAGATGAATGCAGATGTGAAGGCACTGACATATTGTGACCTGCAGAAATAAAAGCGCTATATAAATGCCTTATTCATTCATTCAAACTGTACAGTTGTCTTAAATAAAGTTCTAGTAGTGGGATTACTGGTCTATGTGGTCCTTAGTACAACTACAGTATTATACACTGGAAAACAGATTTAAATATTAGATTGATATGAAAATGGATTGTAATAGATGAAAATTTATTTTATTCAGTGTTGATGTCATTACAGGAAAAGGAGATCTGATTGGCTCAGACCTGCCAGGCCAGAATCATGTGATCAAGATGAATGCAGATGTGAAGGCACTGACATATTGTGACCTGCAGTACATCAGTATGAGAAATGGCACGTATGGTCACCCTATCTTAAAGACCACTTTAAATAGTTTGATTTATCACATCTCTCTTTCCTGTGTTAAAGTCTTTTCTATTGAAAAGGATGCAACATTTTGACGTTTATGAAAAAACATGATTTGCTACTGTGAAGGGTGGTCTCAAGGCCATGACACACCAATTAAACATCAAAGAACTAGCGTCTATGAAAGCTAACGGTGTTGTTGACTTGCATTGTCTGCATCTGGACCAAAAAAAGTGCCCTTGTCTTGAACACACTGCAAAGAATGCACATTCCTCACCTGAGTGAGAGAAAGTCTTCACTTTCTTAATTTCATATGGTCATGTCATTTGAGAATATTTATGTAAAATTAGAATAGCCTTCACTGTGGGGCCTTTTGACTTTGCTCGCTTTTCGCTTTTCTTCTCATGCACTGGTTTGCTAAGCTGAAAAGTCAATCAGAGGGTTTGAATTCAACATGCTCAATTGTCCAAACAGCCTTGGACAGGATCCAACTAGTGCAGACACCACCAAATATCTGAGCTGACAGATGCTCGTTGACCGTTTGACAGTTGACCACCAGCTTGGTGTGTCACAGCTTTTAGACCTACTTATTAAGATCAGAGATGCCTACCCCTGTATAAAGTATGAGACCATATTAATTCATGTTGAGTACTTTAAAAGAGCATTAGAGTTTTTTTGTGCGATTAATATTTGTGAGTAACAGACAATGTATCTGACTTTATGGCTTTTTATAGAGTTGTAGATGGAATTGAGGACAACGGACATGTGTTTTGTTTTAATGTGGAGGACACCACTGCCAAAACTAGTACGGTGACATCACTGGATAGTAAGACACTGAACGGTAATGATATTTTATTCTTACTAAGTCACATACTGTAAACTGTATAGATCAGTTGGGTCATTGCATCTTAGTTTTAATGCAGGGTCTGATCAGGTGAATGCATCACTGCTTCAGGAGACAAAAGTAGTGAGAGAGACCATTGTCCAACTCAACAAGAAGGTACAGTAACAATCTCATGCCTAAAAACAAAGACATTAAATCCTTCTAAAAGGTTCCTACTTACTGTACAAGCTCAGAAATGAAACAAAGGAATGTGAAAAAAACAAAGGAGACAAATTAAAATTGCAACTGATGGTTTATTTGTATTTTATGATTCTAATGTTTATATATACTTAAATGCAATATTTTAAATACAACTCATTCCAGATGGGCAACCTGAAACAGGAAGTGTCAATTCTGACAAAGGATCTTCATCACATAATGCACCTCCTGGAAGCACAAATAGCAGTTCATCATTACACAGAACCTTTGTCCTCCTGTCCCCATGGAGTCCACATGATGTCCAGTTCTTCTGTCGGTGTGTCTCCAGCCTACATCTTGGGTTCCAGCATCCACATGCAGCACAAAGAACATGTTGTCCCTGAGGGTCTCCTGGGGTCCACATCTTGGAGTCACGGCAGACCTGGTGGTATGGCTGCAAACTCCCTGTAGCGTTTGTTTTTTCATTGATGAAACCATCTGTATACAAGTTGGCAGAGACTTCATCATTTGATTAAAATGTTTCTCTGGTATGTACAGGTGGATCTGGTTTCGCTCAGCACACTGAGAAACAGGGACACTTTCGCCAGCATGAGCCCAATCAACACTCTCCTGTCACAGCAAATGAGCCCTGTTCCCATGATTGGAGTTCCATCTACACCTCAGTTCCCTCCAATATCAGCCACCATCACTTCTCTACTGGCTCCTCTCTCCTTAGTATCAGCCCAGGAAGCCTGGGGCCAACACCTGGAGAGAGCCCCCGAGCAGAGGGCTCATCACTGGGCATTTGTGCTGGAGATGGAGCCCATGCCAGTATCAGCCAGTCACACCCTGTTTTGCATACATTGTTTCCTCAAAATTTGGACAGTTCGTCTTTTTCTTGCAAGGTCACGCCAAGCTCTTATTCACACCTACACCTTTCCACAGAACCAGTGTTTCCCTACTCCACTCCAACTGTGGATGAAGAGCACAGGACTCCAGAGGTGGCCCTCACTCAGAATGTGGTACCTTCCACTTTCGTACAAGAGAATTCTCCACACGAATCAGGCATAGTTCTCTCTTCTCTTGAGGAGTCACCTGAAGTAGAGCACACCAGTCGGGAGTGCCTACTGGGTAATCAAAGGCTGGGCCAAGATAGTGAAACATCAGAGAGCAGGTCTAGTGGGTCCAGTGTAGGACTTTGTAGCCAATCCGAGATCTCAGAGACCACATGGTGCCTGGATCTGATGGACTGACAATAAGGAAAGACTATCATCAAGACATCTACAACAAACAATTTTTGAATTTTAACAATTTTCCTTTCATTACGAACTTCATATATTCAGGAGTATGAAGAGAAAAAGCTGCTCAGCGGTTAATCATCTGGACCATCACCGAACCCATTTTCCACCAGCAGTGTCTTTGTTGGTGGCAGAGCCAGTGCCTGATCTGGAATCTTTTCCTGTTCCACCACAGTAAATGGCAGTAATGGTGTGGAAGAACACCACACCAAATTCTAAAACCTGCTAGTCTTAAACAAGAAATCACAATGTTAGAGGCCAGGGCCTGGATGTGCTTACCAAGTAAGTTTATTTATTTTATTAAACTAGAATATCTCTCTCTCACACACACACTTACTGTACTTTTCTGGCACATACACCATATTTGCTGTACACAACAAACTGCATTCCTCTTTTTTTTTTGTTAAAGAGATAATTGACTCAAACATGAAAATTGTGTCATTTACTCACCCTCTTGTTTTTCTAAACTCATAAGTCTTTTGTTCATCTGCATAACAAAATTGAAGATATTTGTAATATTCTCTCAACATTTTTGTCAATTCATTAAAAGTTAAAGCAGTAACAATTTAAGCTTAAAAAAAGTTCAGAAAGACACTAAACGTATGACCTGTCACACTTACGTCGAGAGCACGGACACGAAAATAATACAATATAGACTTTTAAAAGGATCTCCAGACAATGAAGGTTAATACAAGACAAAAGGGCACATAAGCATTCACAACAATAATAACTGGCAAACAACCGGAGAGATCTTAAATAAGGCAGTAAATGAGGGACATACAGGTGCTGAGGATTAACTGATAATTGACTAATGAACTAATGCACTAATGACAACAGGAACAGAACCAAATATGGGCAAATAGGAATCTAAACCAGGGGGGTGTTCCAGAAAGCAGGTTATGTGACATACCCGGGTATGTTTGAGGATAAGCGAGTGGATAACCTCAGCTTTCGGTTCCAAAAATGGAGGTAACTTTCAGGGTACATAAGTAACCATACCAACTTGCTGCTCTCTGAAGATAGCCAGAGATTATCTTAATATAGGGAGATGAGAGGGTCCGTATTACTTACTATTGGAGAAAGCGTAATGGCTAACTTGGATCACGTGTTCCTTAATAACCAATCACATTACAGCCTTGCTGTCATTGAATTTCAGTAAGAGTTGTGCAACACTTAATCGCCATTTACGGATCTCATAGGAATAATTGAGAAGTGCTGTAAGCTGAATCCCACCTGTCACACACAATTTTTTCATGGTAAACTCTAAAAATAGTTAAATCCAAAAGTATTAGTATCCTCTAAAAAGCTGTTTATTCAGCGTAGTGAAGCCTCTCCTCTATTGACATCCATAAAAAAAAACGGCCTCTGGTCTTCCTGCTGAATTCCAACACAGGCACACCTCATTCTGCTTAAAGGTGCACTAAGTGATTTTTGCCAAACGATGTTGATATTTGAAAGCACCAAAACAAACAGGCCCATACCCCAACAGGACCTCGCCCCTATTTTGACATCTTCGCCCCACACGTACGTACACAACCATGGCAACAACGATAACGGAAACAAGCGATGACTCACAAGCATATTCAAACAAAAGCCAACACAGATAAGTCGTGTGAAACAATGCAAAATCAACGTTACTCACCTATCAAAAAGAAACAATGCAACCTCGGCATCCGATTTGAGCCCTTCCCAATCCTTGAGTTCTCTCCATCGCTGGAAAGCTGCTACGATATTTACGCGGGTCCTACCTCTTGCCTGATCGTAACCCTTCTTTTTAATATTTTGTTCCTCCGATATTTTCCTCTTTTTTTATCTTCCAGTTCTCTCTATCTGTAGTCGATCTGCTAATATCCGTCCTGTACATTCAAATTGAGTGCTCTCTTCCTGCCATCATTACAAGACACGCCCAAATACTGCTGATGGGCTGCAAGTGTGTTTTGGGACATGTTTTGGGACACTGTGCACCTTTAATGAAGAACTGATTTGGTGATAACCTGAGGAAGAGTATAAAAACCACTACTGTGTTCATCACTGTTCTCTTGCAATAGGACCTGCTGGATGGTAAAAACAGTGCTAGTAGCACTTCAAAAGTAATTGGAATCTAATAATAACTATTGACCATGCCAAAAGAGTTGAAAGAGTTTTGAGTGAGGAAAAGAAGGGTTCAATTCTGGCTTTACGGGATACAGTGAGCTTCAGGTTGCGTCCATCCTTAAAATTTCAAAGACAGTGGTTCATAAGAACAAGGTCAATCTGCGGACATTGGGGACAACAAAGCTACAGACTGGCAGAGGGTGAAAACGACTCTCCACTGACCAGGATGACCATCAATTCATTCGAATGTTACTCATGTAGGATGACATCAAGTGAATGAAGGGAAACCGGCAGCTGGGGTGAAGTGCACGGTGAAACGGTTTGAAACAGGCTCCTAGGGCAGGGCTGAAGTCCTGCATAGCTAGAAAAAAAACCTTCATCAATGAGAAGCAAAGAAGAGCCCAGCTGAGGTTTGCAAAAGACCATAAAGATTGGACCTTCTCTTACGAGTCCAATTTTCAGCTTTCCCTGTTGAAAAAATCAGCATATGCTGGTTAGGTACACTGTAAAAAAAAATCTGTGACATTTACGGTAAAATACCGGCAGCTGTGGTTTCCAGAACTTCACCGTAAAAAATATGGTAGCAACATTTTAGGTTTTACAGACTTAACTTAAATTCACAATAAAATACCGTATTTCATGAACTGATGTAAATTTAATAAACCAACATATTGAAGTGTTAATATCTGTTTTGAACTCTGGGAATGTTACATGTTGCATTAAAAGCTCCTGCCAGAAATCCAGTAGTACTCTATTGCACTAAGTAACTGAATTTAATACTTGGATTAATGAGACCCAGGGTTTATTTTCATTTGCACAACGTGTGACCACTTAAATCAATGATAAGGAGCTATTTAATTTAATTCTACATTATATGCAACATGGGCCTGCACACATATGAATTAATATAGACTTTCATGTGGACACTTGTATGTGGTTGTAGTGTATATAATGAATAAAGGTGTAATAAATGTTCACAAATGAACTTGAGTGGTCATGAAAGTAGCATTGCAGCAGACTGGACAAACATTATTACACACTTATGTATTGTTTTATACTTTTAAAAACTATGACACTGAACACTGAATACAGAAGATTGTAATTGTTCTGTAGAGGGCTGTTTATGCTTTTGTTGATTATCAATCAAAACTAACATTAAAATTTACATTAACCTTGAATCTTGTATAAAATGTCATTGAACTTCCAAAAGTGTTTACACAAATGAGCATACCAGTGTCAATAGAAAACATTCCACAACAACATGACATTGACAAATGGCCATACCTCAGCAAAGTGAAATTGCCTCACATTGATGCTGGAGTGGAAATCCTTATAGGAAACAAGGAGTTCAAGCTTTTGGAACCTTGGAAAGTAATTAATAGTAAGCACAATGGGCCATTCGCAGTGAAGACTGCCCTTGGATGGATTTTGAATGGACCACTTAGGGAACCTGTTGAAGAAAGCATGCATGGAGATGCACAAACAAACATTACAGTCAACAGAATATCCATTGAGAGTGTGGAACAGATGCTGATACAACAGTACAACCACAATTTTCCTGAAAGAAATTGTGATGACAAAGCTGAATTATCGCAGATGGATCACCAGTTTTTGGAATCTGTGTCTGATTCAGTGCAGTTTTCCAATGGTCATTATTACATTGACCTTCCTATCAAGAAAACAGTTGTCCAAATGCCTAACAATCGAAGTGCTGCTGTCCAGCGAGCTCTAAATATCAAGAAGAAAATTCAGAAAAATCGCTCCTTTCATTTAGAGTACACAAACTTCATGACTGTCATGCTAAGCAAAGGTTACACAGTCAAGGTGACTACATCACACTTAAGTCATCAAGATGGTCAAGTTTGATATATACCTCACTACGGGGTATACCATCCTCAGAAGAAGAAACTGAGAGTGGTGTTTGACTGTGCTACCAGTTTCCAAGGAATGTCTTTAAATAGTGAGCTCCTACAGGGTCCAGACATCACAAATTCACTCAATGGAGTGCTCACTCGCTTCAGACAAGAGTCAGTTGCCATGATTGCAGATAGTGAAGCTATGTACTACCAGGTGAGAGTTCCTGAAAAAGACAGTGACATGCTCCGCTTCCTATGGTGGCCAGATGGAGATGTAAATCAGAACTTGGATGAGTACAAGATGGTTGTCCATATCTTTGGAGCTAAGTCATCTCCAAGTGTAGCTAATTTTGCCCTTAGGAAAACAGCAGAAGACAATCGGAGCAAGTCATCAGTTGAAGCAGTAAATACAGTTCTCAAGAACTTTTATGTAGACGACTGTTTAAAGTCTGTTTCAAGCTCTACTCAAGCAGTTGCCTTGCACAATGATCTCACAAAACTCTGTGCGAGTGGATGATTTCGTCTTACAAAATGGGCAAGCAACAGTCGTGCATTGTTGGCCTCTATTCCTGAAAGTGAAAGAATTGCAGATGTCAGAGACTTGGATTTGAGCAAAGATGCACTTCCTGCAGAGAGAGCATTAGGGGTGTTATGGTGTGTCAATTCAGATGTGTTCAAATTCAAGATCAATTTGAAAGAAAAACCTGTAATCAGAAGAGGAATCCTGTCAGTCACAAGCTCCATCTATGACCCCCTAGGCTTTCTCGCACCTGTAATATTGTCATCAAAGATTCTAATGCAACAGTTGTGCAGAGAAAAGCTTGCATAGGATGATGATATTCCAGAACAGAGTGCAGAAAAGTGGATTTCCTGGTTACGCGGGCTAATTCAGTTGGCTGATTTCAGTGTACCAAGGTGTATAAAACCAGTTGACTTTGGAGTGTCCACTTCCGCGCAACTACATCACTTCTCAGACGCTAGCGAGGTGGGATATGGAGTTGTTTC